CCTTCGGGTCACCGGACCCGAAACGTTAACTCTGTTTTCTCCTCCACAGACGCTGCCAGACCTGCTGAGCTTTTCCAGCAACTTTGTTTTTGCACTTGAGAAGGTGGTGGTCACCTGTCTTCCAGTGCAATATACCTTGTGTAGGTAAACCCACAGTGCTATTAAGGAGAGAGTTCCAGATTTTGGGTCCCACAACAGCAAAGAAATGGTGATATGTGTGTGGCTTTGGGGGAAATTGCAGGTGATGCATCTGCTACCCTTTTCTTTCTGTGAAGGTCACAGCTTTGGAATATGCTGTTTAAGAAATCATGGTGAGTTGTTGCAGTGCTTCTTGTAGATAGTACACACTGCTGCTATTATGTGTTGCAATGAGGGAGAGAATGTAGAAGATATTAAATGGGGTTCCAATCAAGCAGACTTCTGGATGATGTTGAGCCAGATTCATACAAACAAGTGGGGAGTATTTTCATCACACTCCCGGCTTGTGCCTTTTTGGCAAGCTTTGAGGAGTCTGCTGGTGAGTTACATGCTTGGTGTAGTTCAGTTTTGAATTAATTGTGATCCTGAGGATATTGATTATGAGGATTCAGCAATGATAATGCCATTGAATATCAAAGGGTGATCATTGGATTCTCTCTTGAAGATGGCCATATCTTGCCATTCATGTTGCTAATGTTAATTGCCATTTATCAGCCCAAACCTTAAAGTTGAGTGGATTTTGCTGCACTTGAACATGGACAGCTTCAAAATCTTGATCACAAGGGCAGTCACCCTCATTTTCCCCTTGCTTACTTCTGTTTGTTGCATACTGCTTCTGCTGTTTGGCATGTAGGTGGTTCTGGGTTGTGGCTTCACAGGATCAACACCAAATTTTTAAGTATGCTTGCCTCTGCCTGTGACATGCCCATCTGCTTTCTTCACTGTTTCCCGGCTTAACGTAGAACATAGAACAGTACAGCACAGTACAGGCCCTTTGGCCCACGATGTTGTGCCAACATATTATCCTACTAAGATCAATCTACCCTGCATACCCTACATTATACCATCATCCATGTGCCTATCCAAGAGTTGCTCAAAAGTCTCTAAAGTATCTGACTCCACTACCACTGCCGGCAGTGCATTCCACATGCCCACCATTCTCTGTGTAAAGAACCTACCTCTGACATCTCCCCTATACCTTCCTCCAATCACCTTAAAATTATGCCCCCTCATAATAGTCATTTCCGCCCAGGGAGAAAGTCTCTGACTATCCATTCTATTTTTGCCTCTCATCATCTTGTACACCTCTATCAAGTCACCTCTCATCCTTCTTCGCTCCAATGAAAAAAGCCCTAGCTCCCTCAACCTTTCCTCATAAGACCTGCCCTCCAGTCCAGGCAGGATCCTGGTAAATATTCTCTGCATCCTCTCTAAAGCTTCCACAACCTTCCTAGAATGAGGCGACCAGAACTGAACACAATATTCCAAGTGTGGTCTAACCAGGGTTTTATAGAGATGCAGCATAACCTCACGGCTCTTAGACTTAATTCCCCTGTCAATGAAAGCCAACGCACTATATGCCTTCTTTACAACCCTATCACCTTGGGTAGCAACTTTGAGGGATCTATGGACGTGATCCCCAAGATCTGTCTGTTCCTCCACACTGCCAAGAATCCTGCTGTTAACCCTTATTCTGTATTCAAATTCAACCTTCCAAAATGAATCACTTCACACTTTTCTGGGTTGAATTCCATCTGCCACTTCTTTGCCCAGCTCTGCATCCTGTCAATGTCCCGTTGCAACCTACAACAGCCCTCCACACTGTCCACAACTCCACCAACATTTGTGTCATCGGCAAATTTACTAACCCACCCTTCCACTTTCTTATCCAAGTCATTTATAAAGATCACAAAGAGGAGAGGTCCCAGAACAGATCCCTGCGGAACACCACTGGTCACCGAGCTCCAGGCTGAATACTTTCCATCTACTACCACACTCTGTCTTCTACTGGACAACCAGTTTTACAAATTTCCCTGAATCCCTTGCCTCCTTACTTTCTGAATGATATACAATGGGGAACTTTATCAAATGCCTGGCTAAAATCAATATACACCACATCCACTGCTCTGCCTTCATCAATGTGTTTTGTCACATCGTCAAAGAATTCAATAAGGCTTGTGAGGCATGACCTGCCCCTCACATAGCCATGCTGACTACTTCTACTCAAACTGTGCTTTTCCAAATAATCATGAATACTATCTCTCAGAATCCTCTCCAATAATTTGTCCACCACAGAAGTAAGACTGACCCGTCTGTAATTCCCAGGATTTTCCCTATTCCCTTTCTTGAACAAGGGAATGACAATTACCACTCTCCAATCATCTGGTACTACTCCAGTAGACAGTGAGGACGCAAAGATCATCGTCAAAGGGGCAGCAAACTCTTTCCTCATTTCCCATGATAACCTTGGGTATATCCCATCTGGCCCAGGGGACTTATCCATCCTCATGTTTTTCAAAATTTCTAGCACATCCTCCTTCCTAACATCAACCTGTTCGAGCATATCTGCCTGTTTCATGCTGTCCTCACAAACGTCAAGGTCCCTTTCACTGGTGAATACTGAAGCAAAGTATTCATTAAGAACTTCCCCTACCTCCTCTGACACTGCGCACAAGTTCCCTCCACTATCCCTGATTGACCCTACCCTTGCTCTGGCCATCCTCTTGTTCCTCACATAAGCGTAGAACGCCTTGAGGTTTTCCTTGAACCTACCCACTAAGGTTTTCTCATACCCCCTTCTAGCTCTCCTAAGTCCATTCTTCAGTTCCTTCCTGGCTACCTTGTAGACCTCTAGAGGCCTGATTGATTCTTGCTTGTAATGGTAGACTGGAATTTATCAGGGACTTGAAACTAAAAAGATTGAGGTTGTGCACAATTCTGCTGTTGCAATTGCTAGATCTGTTTGAAATCTCTCCAATTCAAAATGATGGTAGTGCCACAAAACATGGTGGAGCATATCTTCGGTATGGAGGCGGGACTGTGTGGTGGTCATGCTACTGATTTCACGCTCAGCATTAATCTTGATTTATTTAGTTCCAGATTTGTTAACTGAAATTAAATTTCAACACCTGCCTTTGGTGGGATCCAAACCCTTGTCCACAGAACATTAGCCCGAATTATTATTTAGTGAAAGTACCACTATACCACCGCCCCAAGCTGAGGATGACAAAAATAAAATTGACTTTAAGTAGAATTAAATGGAAATAAATATATTTGAAACATTGCTGATGTAGTTTGGTCTCAAAATTAGAGATCTTACCGTAAAGATATCTCCATATTTTTTCTTCATTTTCAATAAAAATTTGGCACTATCCTTGCCAAATGCAATGGCATGACCCAGCCATGGAATAAAACCTTTATCTAGTGGTGGCTCATTTGGTAACCTAAAAGAACAAATAGAATTTTTATTGTAAACTCACTATTATTGCTACTATCCCCATTACTAATATGGTTACAAAACCATGCAGACCTTAAACAAATCAATAAACATAGTATTCAAATCAGAAAGATTCTGCCTGATAACCTTCTTGCATTCTTTGTGGAATTGAACACCTCAAGCAGATTATCATAAGTTCAACCCACCCATACTTCCAGATGGCAATGTTTCACATGCAATACTATTATCTGAACTTATCAATGTGGAAAATCTGAGGTTAATCTTGGGAATTTATATGGGATTGACTAAAAGGCAGAAAAAAAATTAGGAATTGTGTGCCATGAATGTGCAGGGAGACACTCATGATAGTTAAGTACTGAGTGGGATGCCACTGAGTATGATGCCATTTTTAATTTACATCAGTAACTTGAACTTATAATTCTAATGTAAGCTGGCCAAATTTGCAGATGATACCAAAACAAATATGGGACAATGGAATCAGAGGAGGCAGCTTATAAAAATGAAAAGTTGGCCAACCAGGCAGTGGGAGGAAAATATCAAAAGGAAACTTACAAGATGTCAATTACTGTACATCGATTAACAATTAGCAACACATATGCTTCAGAAATGGTGCTAATTTGGCTACAGGTAAAGTTGAAAAAGACTTCATTTACTCAAAGCCTAATCCATTTAACCATCAAAGAATAGTGCTTCACAAAGTCAACTAACATTTAGTTGCATAATCAAAACAATAGAATAAAAGTTGTGGAAATGTGAGTTTACATTTCTCATGTACCTCAATGGCTTGGCTCTTTGTGGGATCAACACCCAGAAAGGCAGAATAATTTTCAGCTTTGCTGAACAAGTACGTGTTGCAGTGCTGGCATAAAGCAAAGATGAGGATCTGAAGTAATGCATGAAGGTCACTGATTCGTGTCTTCCGAATGCAGGGAAAAGATTTTCTGGTCAGTGTTTTTACAGTAACAAAGTGAGTGATGAGCTCAAGTAAACCATATAGTCATGGAAATAGAATGATTAGCATAGAGTCATAGAGCCATAGAGATATACAGCACGGAAACAGACCCTTTGGACCAACTCGTATGCTGACTTAGATACTAGTCCCATTTTCCGGCATTTGGCCCAAATCCCTCTAAACCTTTCTTATTCATATACATATCCAGATGCCTTTTAAATGTTGTAATTGTACCAGCCCTCCACCACTTCCATTAGCAGCACATTCCATACACACACCACTCTCTGTCTGAAAAAGTTGCCCCTTAGGTCCCTTTTAAATCTTTCCCCCTCACCTTAAACCTATGCCCTCCAATTTTGGACTCCCCCAACCCCGAGGAAAAGATGTTATCTATTTACTCTATCTATGCCCTTCATGATTTTATAAACCTCTATAATGTCACCCCTCAGTCTCCGATGCTCCAGGAAAAATAGGCCCAGCCTATTCAGCCTCTCCCTATAGTAGAGCTTGAGATATAACAAAAGTATCTTCTTTGTATTATGTTGATGTATTCGATGCCATGTCGTGGACCTTTTGACGTAATACATTTTATTGGTAACATGTCACTTTGTAGAAATGTAGAGATCAGAAGTAGGATTGGTATAGGGTTTTGAGGAAACCATTTGATGCGATAGTTGTATTAGATTGTGGGTGTGATGTAATAGAGTTCTTGTATTGTGAGCTCAATAAAGTATCAGGTTAGCATACTGCATTCATATGGAATAATTTACCTGACTATTCACATTTGATTGTTTGTTTGAAATTAATTTTAATCAACTTGTGCACACATGCTATGGCACATCTGTAAGGAAGATGGAGACTTGAACCCAGATGTAGAGAGTCTACTCTGGTTGGTTGGCTCGCCAAGCTGGTTCGTTAGCTCGCAGACGTTTCATTACCCTGCTGGGTAACATCATCAGTGCAGCCTCTGGTGACGTGCTGTTGTGTTTTCCCTCCTGGTATTTAAACTCTGGGGTCCGTTGGAATTGGTCGCTTCATTTCCGGTTTTTCTTCGGAGTGCTGTATATATAGGGTCTAATTCTATGTGTTTATTGATGGCCTTCTTGGTGGAGAACCAAGCCTCTAGAAATTCCCATGCTTGTCTCTATTTGGCCTGTCCTAGGAATCCTGATGTTGTCCTAATCGAACTAGCGGTTCTCCTTATCCATGTGAATGGAGACGAGTGAGTATTTGTCATGTCTTTTTGTTGCTAGTGAACCAACCACAGCATCCACAAGCCGAGCTACAACTCTACTCAAGAACTGTAGAGAGTCTATGTCTGCATCACTAGACCCTCAGCTCATTAAAGCCCTGGTTCTTGGTTAACATTACAACTGACATTTAAGAATTCTAGTTTTTTAACAAAATTGAATAAGAATGAGGTTTCAGCATAAATTAGTTAACGTCAAGATTATATTGTGCATCATACTGATCGAATAGACATTAAATACTTATCTTTGATCTCTTAAGTTTAAGGCAGAAATTTAAGCAGTTGGCCACAAAGAAAAGCTTCAAGGTTGAACTTCAGTTGTAAAGGGAAATTTTATATCCTCTGTTTTGAGTAAGATTGAAGTCCATTACCTATTAGCATTTCCTCCATTAATGACTTTAACCATAGTCACTTCAAGCAAACTCTAATTAACATGCATTGGAAGTGAAAAATAATCTGATGTGTGAATGAATTAAACTTTTAAGGAATACTGTCATGATGCTAATAAAATATAGAGTATTAATTTTCAAATTCCACCATCTGGTTTTAATACCTGGGAGTTACATAGATAAAATAAGGGACAAAATGTTTATGTAAAATGGTCACAGCAATCATCTGACCATGCAGGTCAGTCAAGCTTTCATGAAATCAATGTGGAATAAATAAAACTGTCTGCACTGAAAGTGACTTTTGATCAAAAGATACCAGAACTAATGCACCCAATCAGGCTTTCTTCATCTCTTGTTTTGATTCACACCTTAAGTTAAGTTTCACATATGGCAGATTAAAGACATCACCTCCAATCATCCAGCTTCGAAAAAGTGAACTCGTGTGTGGAAATACACACACCAGTCTATATTTCAAGTAACTGCTTCTAGTAGAAGGGTTTTTAACTGCAGAACTGGAAACAGTTTGGAAAAGTATTCTCTTAGCCTCTGATGAAGGAAAATTACCTGGTCACAGAACTGATTAAAAGAAAAACATCAAGAACTCAAAGAACAATTGAAATGTTTGATACTGCTGATGATTCAAGGCACCAATTAAGTACTACTGTCTCAGGTTAAAAACGTTACACCTTAAGGACACCCTAAGGGCTTTAAATTCTATGTTTTTTAATCTATCGAACACTATCTCTTTTTAACTTTACACCAGTGTGTATGTATGCTTAATCTTTATTATGTCTTTCAAAATTATTTGTTAATAAAATACCCTTTATTTGATTTAAAGAAGACTTTGGAATTGGTCAATTTCTGATTCTGTAAACATGGAGTAACTACACTTTTATTAGAGTGAAGTACAACCTTGCACTAAAATGAACTTAAGTCTGTGCTTCAGCCAACCAGGGAGATTGAACAGGGAGCCATTTCATGTTTCTTTATCTGGTTATAATAAATTGTAACATATGAGTGAAAACAGAACAGTACACCCATATCAATCCCTAATGAATTGGTAGAATCAAAAGCAAATAGTTTCGTGATGTATCAGGAACCACAGAAAATAAACAGAAAAATGAAATTGAACTGCAATTTGGTAAATTTCTGAGTTTGCATCATTCATTTCAAGGATATATGGAAAGAAAGTGATCCTTTTCGGGAAAAATTCTGACCATCAATGATACCAAGACCATCACAACAGCCCCAGCCAGCTGTCCATCCTTTCATTGTATCACAGAACAATGAACACCAGTCAGGCAAAATTGGAGGAGGATGGATCAGGGATTTTCCAACTTGCTGATTTTTTAGTTAAATTGGTCAGTGTCACCGAAAATGACTTAGACAATTGTTTCATTACATCTCCACCTTTTGGTTTGGTTTCCCTATTTCCTGCTACTCACATCTAGAAGCGCACAGTATGCCTTGCAGGAATTGTAGGAAGCATTTTTTGGAAACTATGATGTTATTTAAAATACATCCTGCAATGGACTTCCTGCTGGTTAATCCTTGGCACTGTAGCATTGCGTGGTATTGGAGAATTAGAATGGAATGTTCTTTATTGTCACATGTACTCCAGTACAGGAGTGCAGGAGTACAGTGAAAAGCTTTTACAATGGCTGCCTCTAATGGCACCATCTTAGGTACAAATATCTAGGTACAAAGCTTGTATACAAGAGAGGAATATCAGGAAAAGTAGCAACATTGCTTACAGTGGCTAAAAAATAAGTTAGAAATAAGATAGTTATAACATTGTTAAAGGATTGACATTACAGCCCGGTAAAGAATTTCAGACTGAAATTGCATTGCAGCAGCTCAGTGAGCATGTGGTCTGATCGCCCACGCCAAACCCCAGGCTGACAACAGTCTCGCTCTGCTCCAAGACTCCAGTCCGCTCTGCACCAGTAACCAGCTGCACTAAGGTAAGTAGCGCTGCTCCGGGAATCGCGTCTCCTCTCGTGGATCTCCGAGACTCATGTCCCCGCACAATGCTGCGGGACTCGCTTCCCCACACGTTGCTCAAGGGCTCGCTTCCCCATGCGCCGCTCCGGGACTGCTAAGAGAGAAAAAAAGAAAAAGAACATGCGGAGCAGAGGAGCTCCAGGTAGAGCGTCTGCCTCTGCCACCATCTTGCCGGATGGTGTCGAGATGTAAATTGAAGTCACAGTGAAAGATGAAAATGATGGAGAAAATTAGAAGAAAATAATATTTTAGTTATAAACTGGGGATGGCACTTCAGAAGGCAACAGATAAAGGGGGCTTTCAGGGAGACATAGATGGAGAAAGGAGTAAAGAGTTTGAAAGAGAGACAGGCACCAGAGTGTAGCAGAAGAGACAATGGGCAGGGTGGGGGA